ACCTCTTCAGCATGGCTAAAGGTGAGTCTGCCTTCTTAGGGGTGGTTCCTTGGCCAAGGGAGCAACTTGACCCAACTGGAATATTAGGTCTCCATCCAGGCCAGAGATTCTATTCTCTTGACCAGAAAAGTCTTCTTAATGGACTTTTATTGCCACCATAACACTTGAATGTTTATTTATCATGTGTTATGTGCTGGCAACCCTTGGGATCTTCCAGACACGTTGAAATACACATTGCTGCAGCTACAGTCACTCTACTGTGCCAGAGAATTTGAGAACTATCTACTTATTTACCTCTGTTTCTAAACATGTCCTATGACTTTTAGATCACATTTCACTAACAAATGCCCCAAGAAATACTTATTCTGACCTTGGTTATGAGAATACTGCCTGAAGGTGGGGTTCCGAAAGTTAATTTCCTATTAGAGTTACTTCTCTTCTGTTGCGGCCTTAACTAACTAATGCCTGCACAGTACAACAATATCTCTGCTAAACCACAGACATCTTAACAGTTTACAAGACAACTTCTTCTATATTTGTTTTCTGATGTGTAGGGATCATTTATTTCACCAATATTTCATCAAATTGATGCCTTGTTGATTCGATAGCTTTTTTTTTTGTCACAAAGCACAAACTGCTGGGGTGGGTGGTCTGTGAGATTACAGACTATAAAAGGGCTTTTTATTTTCCCAGCCAATGCTTCTCTCCATCACCCCAGGGATAAAGGAGACTTGAGAGCCATTTAAATTGGCCTTAGAGCCCTTGGCGATTGAAGCTAAGCGCTGTGGTCCAGTTTATGTAAAGTACCTTGCACAGGCCTGGGCAGAGAGCCACCCCTGGGTATCTATCTGTTCGGGATTGCCCTTCAACGCTGGATACATGCAGTTAGCAATCCAGGGATACTTTCAAGCTGGTGTGATGTTTACTTGAGTTTGAATTGGGAAATCATTGGTGAAGCCCAAAATAGAACTGATGAGAGTCTCCATGTTCTACTTCTAACCCAACACCTCCCCTCGTGGGTGCCTGCCTCCTTCTCTGCAGGAACCTTTGCCTAGAGAGAGAAGGAGGCTCTCAGGTGATTTCCAGGTTCTGATAGTTTCCAGGGAGAAACTTTGTCCAACACACACTTTGGCTTCTTCTTCTTCTCAAAATGCACGTGGTTTGCACTTCTGCAGTCACAGAGTAACAACATGAGAAAGAAAGGTTTGTCTTCTTCCCTCCCCGTCTCTGCCTCCCCTCCCCCTGCCTTCCTCTCTCCCTCTCCCCGCCTTCCTTCCTTTCTTCTTTCTTCCAACCTCCCCTCTTTCCTTTTCAGTCACATCACCTCCAAAAAGCATCAGACAGGGCTGGGAGGAGGAAAGAAAAAAGGAAAAAAGGAAAAAAAAAAAACCCTTTTAACTATTTTGTTCTCCCTCTCTTTTCTCCACCCCTCGTGTGTGTGTGTGTGTGTGTGTGTGTGTGTGTGTGTGTGTGTGTGTGTGTGTGTGTGTGTGTTGGAGACTCAGAGGTGTAAGGTGGGGAGATACAGGGGGAAAAAAAAAAGCCAAGCTGTACCTGCTGCTATAAATTCTAACTTCAGAAACCTTTGAAGTGTGGTGTCTGTGACAATGCATTGTTTTCCCACAGGAGGACACCTCATTCAGTCTAGGAGACCCAAAGAAACAGAATCTTCTCTAGCAACACTCACCTGAGTTATTGGGATAAGAACCCTCTAAAAGCCAGGCAGTGGTGGCTCACACCTTTAACCCCAGCCCTCAGGAGGCAGAGACAGGTGGGTCTCTGTGAGTCTGAGACCAGCCTGGTCTACAGAGTGAGTTCCAGGTAAATCAATAAATAAACCTTATAAAAGATCCTTGCACCTATCACGTGATCATTCCACATGCTCATGGCCAACTGGGTTACCTCTCAGCTTCTGGGCTTGTACTGAACACTTGTCCAAGCTCTGCCTGCGACTGCAGACTGATGTTTGGGATGCTGTAGCCTTCTCCTCTCCCCCCTGTTCCCTTCTCCGAACAGCCCCCTCCCTACAAAGACACCCCTGAGCCGAGGCTCCCCCAGAGCTCCGGCGCAAGCCCCCTAATTCCTCACGAGATGAACAATAATCACTGTAACCTCCTAATTAACATTGTTAAAAACTGCTAACAAAAGACACGTAACAATATCTTCATTAGGGAAGGATTTCCAATTTGTGATATGGAGCATGTTAGACAAGCAGAGCACAGTTCTCCCTTTGTTTCTGGACTCTGGCAGCCAGAGAGATTACAAGATATGACACCACACACGCAGCATCTGCCATTTATCTTTCTGTGTTCTTTACACATCGGCGCTCCACAATTAGTGTGGCGGCTAATTTTACCTGTGGTATTGTTTGCACTGTGACTTGGAGAGAATGGGGAGGTGATATATGTTGGGGTGAATGCCCGCCTCTCTGGTTCTTCCTAGAGCTGACTGAGACTCTCAAGCATGTGTGGGAAGGGACCCTGCCTAGCAAATCAAGGAAACTTTGGGGGACCTCAGGCCGTGGAGAATAGGACAGTAAATGGGTAGCCTTTGGGATCACGTTAAATAAACACGTGGGAAACTAACCGTCTCACGCCACATTCCTTTTCTATGCACTCACAGCTTATTTTAAAAGTTCCTATTATCTATCATTTAATTATTAAAAAGTGTCTACTCTGTTTTCATAAATTATCTATGTGTTAGAGAATTGGCATATGGGAGAAAGTCTCTGAGAAAGGGGACATCCAAAGCCAATTATTCTACCTAGAAAGATTTTTTTTTTTTATTTTTAGAATATATAGAATCCTTGAATTATTCTCAACTAGACCTTTAAGGGTTTGTGTGTGTGTTTGGTTAGGGCTGCTGGGGGTGCAGGGAAAGGAATAGTTAAAATTGATAACAATTCCTAATTCACTATTTTTATGTACTTTTCAGGGCATCCTTAGTGTATCCTTTTCCCTGTATCTTTGCTTCTTTATTCTGAAAACAGGAGAAATTCAGTGAAGAAACAATTAACATCAGATATTATCTGGGATTACTATTTGAATAATTACTAATGAATAAGCTAAACTCAATGAAAAAAACATAAGAAAACTACTTAATAGCAGGTCTGGCTCATGGAAAATATTCAGTACATTGTTTCTGTAATAAATTACATCATAACATCTAGCTGTGTAAGAATACATGATGCCACCAATGCATTTCACACTCCACAGTGCTGTATATAATACATAATAAATTGCACTCACACACACACACACACACACATACACACACATGCACACATTTATATAAGTAAGGAGTCTTGCTCTCCATCCTCCTAGGCTTAATAGGAAGTATTGGAAATACACTGAAAACAGATTAATAGAGAAAAAGTTGGGCAGTGGTGACACATGCCTTTAATCCCAGCACTTTGTATGCACAGGCAGGCAGATCACTGGGTTTGAGGCCATACTGTTCTATAGAGTAAGTTCCAGGACAGCCAGGGCTACACAGAGAAACCCTATTTCAAAAAACAAAACAAACAAAAAGAAGAAGAAGAAGAGAAAAGGTGCACAAATTTACTATATACACAGACAAAATACTGTAGCTAGCTTAAAAGGCTGTGAGATTAAAGAGTTTATATACTATCTTCATGGGGTCACGGGATGGGGGGCATAACACACTACAAGAGTAAGTAAAAGAATCTTAAGAAAACACATCAGAAATGTGGTTCGTGTCAGTTTGTCTAGGGAAGCGTTTGTATTTTTTGTGTTGCTATAATAAAATACCACAGTCTGGTCATTTGTAAAGAACAAACAATTTCTTACCATTGAAGAGACTGGACAGTTCAAGGTCAAGGTGCTGGTGGATGTGGTGTCTTGTGAAATTTCACTCTGCTTCCAAGATGGCATCTCATAGCTGTGTCTATGTGGATGACATCTTATGGCTGTGCCTTTACGTGGATGTTATCTCATGGCTGTGTCTACATGGATGTTATCTCATGGCTATGTCTTTACATGGATGGCCTCTTGTGGCTGTTTCTACATGGATGTTATCTCATGGCTATGTCTTTACATGATGGCATCTTGTGGCTGTTTCTACATGGATGTTATCTCATGGCTATGTCTTTACATGGATGACATCTTGTGACTGTTTCTACATGGATAACATTTTGTGGCTGTTTCTACATGGATGGCATCTTGTGGCTGTTTCTACATGGATGGCATCTTGTGGCTATGTCTTTACATGGATGTTATCTCATGGCTGTGTCTACGTGGGTGGCATCTCATGACTGTGTCTTTACATGGCAGAAGGGTAGGAGGGAATGGCGCTGTGTCATCACAGGGCAGAAGAGATGGAGGAAAGGAACTGCTCTCTGGACCCCCTTTTATAAAGACACAGAATCCCTACTTTGAGAGAGAAATCTCTCACGATTTAGTTGTCTCCAGAAGGCCCTACCTCTTAATCTCATCACACTGGCAAGATCTGGCTTTTGAAGGGGGACATTCCCTGGTGTTACCTTCTATTCTCCCCTCTGGTAAGACTTTCCCTTCTCATGAATAAACTCCCTGGGAGCCTGGTGACACCTGAGCTTAAGCAGAGCAGACAGCAACCATTCCAGCCCTGGCTGTCCTTCCTAGAACCTTCTGCTCAAAATAATTGACAGATTAAAGAGCCATATTTAGCCTACATGTCTGGACTCTTCATATGCAATATGCAATGTAATTGAATGTTCATGTGCCATTTCTAGACTCAGATCTGAGTCACTCAATGACTTGTTCCCTGAAGATATCAGGAGTAGGCAGGCCAGGACCATAAATGCATCCTCTAACTTGTCAAACACAACCACCTAGAACTTCCCAGCAAGACAGAGTCCCAAAGAAAAGAACAAAAAACATTAATGAGTCTAAGTTGGTATTGAAAGCTGCTGACCTTGACATGACATGTTTTCCCTTTCTCTATCCCCACCCTGCTTCTCCCCAGTATTCCTAGTGTGAGCCCATGGTTATAGCCTCACCGTGGGGAAGGCTGCTGCATCGAGAAGACCGCTCCAGAGAGGTTTGTGGTGGAAATGGAGAAGCGTGGGAAATGGGTCTTTTTCTGTCCCTGACGCTTTCATTAACTTCTTGTTTAAAGAGAGGTGTTATTCCTAGCATCTGTTAGAGGAAGTTATTTTGAGACTTGTCAACAACAGTAGGAAAGACTACCCGGGAAGGGACTGCTGGAATGGGTTCCTGCATCACGGGGGGAGGAATTGTGCTCAGCTCTGAACACGAGAAAAAAAAATGGGTATTTATTTACAGATAAGCAGCCTAGTGAGTGGTGTGGATGCAAAATGCTGACACATCAAAGGAGCTAGCCTGACCCAACAAGACTCCTGCTGGAAACAGGCCAAGATGATCAGCTATCACCTGGGGGAATGACAGACAGGAGGAAACTGTTCAGATGTTAGAAGTGGGGGGATGCTTTGTAAATTTAGAAGCCTGCTAGGCTGGGGAGATGCTCAGTGGGGAAGAGAGCTTGCTGCACAAACACAGAGACCCGAGTTTGAATCCCTGGCACCTATGTAAAAAGCTGGGCGTGGCTGTGTGTCTATAATGCCAGGGATGGGAAGTGGACAGAAGCAAGCAGATCCTGGAGAGAACCCTGCTAAAATTGCCCGACGAGGACCCTGTAGATCAAGATTTACAGGCTCGTGGGAGCCAGAGTGAGTCTGGTTAAGGTCACAGTCTTTGTTGTGTTGTCTTAATCCATTTTCTGTTGCTATATCTGACCACCACGGACCTATTAATTCATAAAGAATAGAGATTCATTTGGCTTATAGTTCAGGGGGCTGAAAAGTCTAAGAAAAGCACCAAGCTGGTATCTGGTGGGGCTGTCTTGTTGCATCCTAACATGATAGCAAGTTATGGAACAAAAGCTTGTGTCAACTCACAGATTTTTTTTCCCCTTTTCTTTTGAAGCCATTAATGCCACCAAGGGTACCCCGCCCCATATGGCCTCATCTAATGCTTATTACTTCCCAAAGACTTGCAACTTCAAATGCCATTAACATATGAGTTTGTGCAGTAAATGTCCTACATATGAAATACGGGAGATTTAAATCATCCTCCCATTTTCTGTCAGCTCCACACACACACACACACACACACACACACACACACACACACACACACACACCCTGAGTTAAAATAGTTTGATCATGTGTAGGTAATCTTAGCACTTTAGAGTGGGTGAAGGCTTTAGAGACCAACACCCTCTGTCTTGTTTTACTAATTGTGAAATTTTGGCCAGGCCTGGGGGAGAGTCCTAGACACAAGGAAACTGCCACAGTCTCATGGTGTCAGGAGAGATGTAGCCAAAATCCTAGGGTCTTTGCCCCTAGACGGCAAGAGAAAAACGCAATTTGAATTTCGGTGAGGTAGCATGGGAACACGTATAGGAAGAAGGAACATAAAATTCTCACTCCTCAAGCTCGTCAGATGTGGGCCGTTCCTGAGCACTTTGGAAAGGGCAGAAAATTGAAGTGGTGGAAGTTTCCTGCTTGGGGGGAGGGGCTTATCTAAATGGACATGCTTTCCCGTGATTGCTTGCAAAAAACGATCCCTTTTTGATGATCCAGCAGCCTTATCAGGAGAAGTAATTTATAGAGACCATTTCAAAGGGGGGGGGGGAGAGAAAGGCCCCCAAAACCCAGCAGCACAGAACCACAGAAGGAAATATTGCTTTCGCAACAATAACAACAACAAAACAATAAACTTCTCTCATGCTTTATATGTTGAAAAGGTTTGACTGTAAATCTTGGCTCTGACAGTCATCCCAGATCCGCTTGAGAGGCAGCCCACAGACTCAACAGGGCGAGAGAAAACACTAAATCATAATCGCCTCATAAAAGCCAAGCTTGTTTTTCTGAACACTTGAGAACTGGTACAGCCTTTCAAAATATCATAAATCTATTGTGCTCGCTCCTATTTTACTTAACAGCCAATTAATGTTACTGTTTAAGAGAATTAAAGCCAGGGCTAAGAAGGGGGTGAGAGTGGGGGGAAATGTCTTTAAACAGGGGCTAGTGTGGAGATAGAAATGCGCATCGGGCCCTCATTACAGATAGGCTCATTAAAACACTCCTCAGCAGAGCCTGCCGACATGCGCACCCATCGCTGTGATCTCGCCCTCATTAGCATCCTGAAAAAGGAAAACATTCTGCAGCACAGTCTTCCATAGGTTTTGATGCCACTCAGGGCGACATCGGACATTATGGCTGAGGGTCTCTCTCCTTCCCTGGAGGTTGCCCCATGAGTGAAGGAATTGAGCCCCTGAGATGGCCAACAGTACCACATCATGGGGTAGTAATGTAGACTTAAAACAAGGCTGACATCTCTACCCACAGGAGTCCCGACACCATCACGAGAAGCCAACGCAGCCATGGCCTTTGTCACACATTTTTCAGTAAAGACAACGTAAGTCCCCATTTGTTCTCAGTGGTTCGACTGTCACTTGTCATTCTTAAGCAGTTTTTTGTTTGTTTGTTTGTTTGTTTGAAGTGGTCTCTCTAAGTTCTAAGCAAAGGGTGAGGCAGCTTGTGGTGGTATTATGTTCCCCAAAATATTGTGCACCCTAATAAACTTATCTGGGGTCAGAGAACAGAACAACCACTAGATATAGAGGCCAGAAAATGGTGGCACACACGCCTTTAATCCTAGCATTCCAGAGGCAGCAATCTGCGTGGATCTCTGTGAGTTCAAGGCCACATTGGAAACAGCCAGGCGTGGTAACAAGAGCCTTTAATCCCATGAAGTGGTGGCAGAAAGCAGAAAGATATATAAGGTGTGAAAACCAGGAACTATCCTGGTAAAGCTTTTAGGCTTTTGAGTAGCAGTTCAGCTGAGATCCATTTGGATGAGGACTCAGAGGCTTCCAGTCTGAGGAAACAGGATCAGCTGAGGAACTGGCCAAGTGAGGTTAGCTGTGGTTTGTTCTGCTTCTCTGATCTTCCAGCATTTACCCCAATACTTGGCATCAGGTTTGATTTTATTAATAAGACCATTTAAGATTCCTGCTACAGCAGCTGGGTGTGAGGACTGCTGGGTGGGGGGACTGCTGAGTATGAGGACTGCTGGGCAGAGCATGAATATGAACTCAAAATGATGCTGCTAGGTGCTGCCAAGCCCCAACTCAATCTTCTGCATGGTGGTAACTGAAGATTTTAGGTAAAAAACCTGGACTCTGGCATTCGTGACAAGATAGGCTCAGCCCACCTATCCCAGTATGCACGTTACAGAAATGAGTATGACTGGGAAGCCGCTCAGCGGATAACTCTGGGTTTCATCACCACTACCACAGGAACGGGGTGTGGTGCTATACACCTGTCATCCCAGCTCTCTAGAGGTAGAAGCATAGTCCATCCTTCAGGCTTGCTCACTGCTTGTATGAGTCCCATGTCACAAAGATGTTTCTAGATCAGTCCTATTGTTGAAATTCAAGATAATTCAAAATAAAAAGTTAAGGAGGCAAATGCAGAGCCAGAGAGGGACAAGATGGAGTTAGTTAGGCCAAGTGACAAAAGCCTTCCTTCAAGACCTTAGATAAGCATACTCTTTGGGCCTCCATTTTGGAGGGGGGGGCTCTAGAAAAAGAAGATGCCATTGACCACTCTAAAATGATGCAGAATGACATTTTTATTGTATATAAATTTCTCTGTAGAAAGATGATAGTTTGTTAAACCAGCAAGGGACCAGGGTGGAGTCTGATCCATTAGAAAGGCACTGTGGTCATTAGGATAGATAACAACAACAAAAAAAACAAAAAAAAAGAAAGAAAAGAAAAGAAAAAAGAAAAAAGGTCAATGTGACTACATTAGGATGTGTTGGCTGAACATGGGCCACAGTTCCTGATGATCATCGATGTAACCCTGAGCAAAGGCTTATGGGAGCGTGGGGGTGGGGCGGGGTGGTGTCACAGGGCTCAACTTGACTAAGTTGTCCTCTAGCTGTAAGAATAACAAAATTCTTACCTTCAGTTGTCTTGAATTGTCTTAAGGGAGGAAAAAAGCTGCATTATACATTTAATTAGAGGTTAAAAGTGAGATGCCAACATCACAAGGGGTATCTGTGCAAGAGGAAAGGAGGTTGCATCTCATGCACACTTTGGGGGTTCAAGTTTAATGAATGGATGTGAAAGCCAAACACTTGCACCAGTCATAGTAAATACACCCTCTCTCTTCTGGTCTTCACCCCATCTCTCCTTGATACACATACAAATACATAGCAGTGTTTGTCTAGGTTGAATAAATTCAATGCAGAAAACTCCAGTTCAGATATGTACATACCTTGCATTCTGGATACAGTGAGTAAGGGGGTTGATTGCCTGTCAAATGTACAGTACTCAGCCAATGCATGCTACCATCCCCTACCTCACTTGGAGAGCCCAGTTTATGACTACATTTGAACATAGCTAGACAAACCATACTCAATGACCAACTTCCCCTCACCAAACATCTTCATTCTTGAATGCCCTTGAAGGAGACAAGATGTGTAAAAGGAAAGAAGAATGAAAGAGAAGAACATTTATGTCAATAATAAGAGTATCAATAATGAATATGTTGGTGGCTGGTATTGCTGGAATGCTACAGTTCAAGTCACATGTGCACTGTCAGCTAAATATTATGAATTATTCACTGATACTGCTCCTTATTAGGAACTGGGCGGTGTGTTAGATCCTTTCATATGTGACAGGAAAAAAAATCAGCAATAACTATGGCTTCTTCCCCTTAACATCTGTTTCGAAGAATTCTGTATAGCTTTTTGGTCCCCGAGACCTTGAAAAATTGGAAGGGGGTAGGGGGATGGGGCGCAGGACTCAAGTGAGGGCAAGAGATGAGGTGGGATGCCCAATGGTAAGGACAGAGTTTATTGTTCTCCTAGTTAGCGTTCTATTGCTATGATGAAGACCATGACCAAAAGCAACTTGGAGAGGAAAGAGTTTACATAGCTTCCACATGCTAATCGCAGCTGGAACTGGAGGAGAGACCGTGGAAGAACTCGGTTCACTGGCTTGCTTCCAGGCTCATGTTCAGTTAGCTTTCTTATACCTTCTTAGGACCAGAGGTGGCACTATTCATACCAATCATTAACCATTAAAATGCCCCCACAGACTTGTCTATTGGACAATCTGATGGAGGCATTTTCTCAGTTGAGGTTTCCTCTTGCCAGATGACTCTAACTTATGTCAAATTGATAAAAAGAACAACAACAGCTACCCAGCCAGCATACCAGTGGAATCAAATTCAGGAAAGTGAGAAAAGGACCAGAGTGAGGGAGGGCTGGACTGGGCAATGAGCTGGGCTTTACATGGCAAAAGAGACAAGTAAGATGTGGGCAGGTTGGGGACAGTCACGGGGAGGGTGAGAGAGAATCCCAAGAGGACCACGCCAGCATGAAATTCCACAAGAAAGGAGAGCTTTGTAACTATGTTACAACTACTGTCCTTCCTTATTTTGGTGCTTACTTCATTTTCGGTGGTTGTATAATTCTTTCTGTCAGAAGTCATGATTGTGGCTTCATCTCTAACTTGGGGTCTCGCTACCTGTTTTCTACTTTTCACACAAACAGCCATCGTTATTATGTTCATTTTCCCACTGCTGTAACAAGTACCTGAGAAAAGCAGTTTAGGGGAGGGGAGATTTATTTCAGCTCATGGTATAAGAGGTTTCAGTGTATGATCAGCTGACTGTATTTGTAGGGTAAAAGGGCCAGTGAAAGAAACCCACCCTGGCCCTGAAACTAGAGCCAGGGAAAGAGACACACTTCGACCCTGAAACCAGAGCCAGATCTGCCCCTGACCAACTGAGCACAAAACCAACCAATCCTTGAGCAGGAAAATCAACCAATCCCTGAGCATGAAGTCCAGCCAATCTGAGCTTGTCCAGGCTCAAGGGGATTGAAGTCCGACCAATTCCCATCCTGAAAATCTCCTCCCTGGAAAAACTCCACCCCTAAGAAGCTATATATACACATAAGCCCTGTGCCTGGTCAGCTGGCCGCTGTCCTTCTCCACCCTGGCAGAGGCAGCCACTCTCCTGGATTCCTCCTTCCCAAATAAATCTCTTCAAAGAGGTTTGGGTGAAGACCTTCTTTCACCAGAGCAGAGCAGGATCTCTGCTGGGAAACTTTCTTTGCAGAATGGAGCAGAGAAGAAATGGACCTTTCTGCTGGAAAACTCCCTAGTGGAGTGGAGCAGAGAAACAATGGGCACCTCTAATGGGAAGCTCCCTTAGGGGAGCAGAGCAGAGGTCAGCTGTAGTGGCCGTCTGAGAGGAGGAGGTTGCCACATCCTGTGGGGAGACCATCCCCCACCAGAACCCAGCTTCAGATATAGCCTGACTTCCTGACAAGTCAGGATACCTTTCTCCTCATAGCTGTAGGTATCCAGGATACCTTCCCTGCACAGCTGTAGGTGTAGCCTGACTTCCAACAGTCAGGATATCTTTCCCTCCGGAGCTGTAACACTTGCAATATTACCTTCAGACCTATGATAAAGTAGGGACATCAGGGAGGAAGGGTGTAATGGAAGAAAGCTGTTTACCCCTCCAAAGCCAGGAAGCAAAAATAGGGACAGAGAGGATACTGTGATAATATATAGCACCCGAGGACACACTGCCAATGGCCTACTTCCTTCAACTAGGCCCGCGTTTGAAAGCTGCCATCACCTCTCAGCAATGAAATAAAATTAGAAATCTATCCATGGATGAATTCTCTGATGAAGACAGAGTGTGGTCCAATCACCTTTCAATAATTGGATCCACCAGCTGGGGACTAAGTCTTCAACATACTAAACTTTGGGGAAGGGACAGATACCTTATATCCAAACCATAATAGTCATCATTGCTCAATTCAGCATCTGAAATTTCAATTGTAAAAAAAAAAAATCCATTAAAAATTGCTGGGATTAACGAAGCCTCCAGGTCTGACCCTATGTGGTGGGTCTCTGCAGACCTATGCAGCGCTAAGGAGGCCTTTCAGTGACTTCACTAAGTCAGTCATTGGAAGTTGTTTTCCCAGCCTGAGTTATTTTAGGCATAGCTGCTTTTTGTAGTGGGCATGTGACAGATATCGGTCAAAGGAGGCTGACTAGACAATAACCACTCTTAGAGACCAGCATGGCTACCTGCTGGCTGCCTTAGACTTCTGTAGATGTGAAAATCAGGTGTGTTTTCCTGTGTCCCGTAGCTACTTGGTCCCAAATAAACATACAGAGGCTTAGATGACTTACAAATTGTTTGGTCTATTGTAGTGGGTAGCTGTTTCGGCTTTTAACTTGAAGCATCACCCCAGTGTGGCAACCAGTAACTGCCACGCCCACCTAGGACCTGTCCCTGGGGTGTGGCAGGGACAGGAGCCTTTAAGACCCCAGATCTGGATGTGCTGGCTCTCTTGGTTCCTCATAATCCTGGAGGCTGGAT